TCTCTCTCTCTCTCTCTCTCTCTCTCTCTCTCTCTCTCTCACACACACACACACACACACACACACACACACACACACACACACACAATGATGTGTGTTTAAGTGCTGCCTGTATTATTACTTTCTGCTTAGAGTAAATTTATGTCCATAATGTTTGCCGCTTTTTGCCTCACGACACACAAGTGGTTCACTACTGCGTGCCATATCAGTGTCCACCGGTGCTGTTTGTTGTCCTTCTGGCCCGCACTAGTGAACCTACCTTTGTCGCTGCTCTCTCTCTCTCTCTCTCTCTCTCTCTCTCTCTCTCGGGTGGGGGGGCCATGTCGCAGCTACGTGTTCTCATAAATGTATGTGGTGTCTCATGCAATAGATGGAACCCGTGATTGCATCGACTGTCATCGGTGGAGAGACATGCGCCATGGAGACGGAGGACATTCTGAAGGGTTTTGCAGATGGCAACAAGGAAGGGAATTCCGCTGGAGGGAACACTACAGACTGTGCATAGGTGCTTGCGACAATATGTGCACAAACTGCAGAGATGATGGGTGATGGTGATGAAACAGAGAATGATGCAGGAGGGAGCACTTGTGAGACGGAAAAGGTTGGGGAAGAGAGAGAGGAAGGAGGTCTGGGAAGCAGGGAATCTCTGACAGAGTGTATTGTGAAAGATGAAAATGTGGTGAAGACATCAGCAGGAGAAGAGTACCCATATGACATCAATTGGGTGCCGGGTCGTGTTCAACTGGGCATTGTTGGAGGAGCACCCTGCTTTGCAATCAAAGTCGAAGGGACATGGGTTCCAGTTTCTGCCCCCAAAATGAATAAATGGCGAAACGTAACTCTGTCAATCGTGTTTGACAGAGTATTGAGGTTGAACGATGGGGCAACACCACAGGTGAAAGGCCGATATGCATTGGACATGTGGCGTGTTCTGGAGGCGCAGGGCGTGCCACTCTCTCTCGCAGACGGCCATGTTGGTATATTTGTGGCCCGCAGTAGTGAACTGAGCTTGTAGCAGGGCATCTCAGCATTTAATTGACGCTCCCACACGCATCCGTCCATAGAATGAACCACAACAATCCTACAGACTCGAAAAGGAAGGTTGGCTACTACGTGCCACTCTCTCTCGCGGACTTCCATGTTGGTGAATTTGTGTCACGCAGTAGTGAACCGTGTTTGTAGCAGGGCAGCTCAGCATATAATCGACGCTCCCTCAAAAGTCCATCAGCAAAATAAAAATACTGCAATCCAGCACCAATCAAAAACAAAGGTTGGCTACTGCGTGTCACTCTCTCTCTCGCACTGCCGTAACGGTGAGTTTGTGTCACGCAGTAGTGAACCCTGCTTCCAGCTCTCTCTCTCTCTCTCTCTCTCTCTCTCTCTCTCTCTCTCTCTC